CAGTCTCATCCCGCACACTATACGTAAGTTCCTCAGCTGCCATGGCCCTACTCGCCTCCAGACCAATAGCGAACTCCACTTTTATTTTGCATCTCTGAGCTTGTCGCATCTGACGATTTTCCCAAACCTGTCGCAGCCGTTCCATCTCTGAAACGGAAAAGAGGGAAGCCAGCTTTATCTCTTTACTGCCGAAGATCAGGATCCGTGGACCGGGGGGCGCAGATTCTTCTCTGCACCCTGGGGTTATCGAGGTCCGTCCCCCTTTCGGAGGACGGTTTTTTAATGTGAGAAGAAACCATACAAGGTGGTTTTTATTTCGGCACCGGGGCTCCCCACCCACCACGGAGCCCAACTGGGGGACGGTCCAACACTCCCTCAGGAGGTGGTCGCCGTCAGGGCTACCCCGGTGCCATACGGGGCGAACGACGCCTCCTACACGGCCAGGTGTAACCGGGGAGACCCCTTCCCGTCCTGACCGTGGTTCAGCGCCGCCGCCCCTTGACTCCTTAAGCCGCTGCTCGCGGCCAGGCGCCCCAAGCGGAAACCCGCAAGGAGCACCCAACCGCAACGCGAGCGACAGGCCGCTGGACCCGTGTTGGGCCCCACGGGCCCCCCACGCCCCCGGATGTCCTGGCCAAAGTGGAGTGTTGGGACGCGTCGTGACTGACCCGCACGACGCGCTCCTCAGCCACCAGGATCCGATCAACCCGGAGACGTGGGCGAGGAGGCACGGCAACCCCGATAAAACGAGGATGAGGAGTGGTGATAGGGCCGGATGCGGGAAAGCGGGTAATGGAAATGAAGCGGGCGGGACAAGGAGCAGGAGCTCACGTACCGGCAGGGTCGCTACGCCCTGAGAGGAACAGCTTGCGCTGTCCACCCGTTACCGGAGCATGGGACCCGAGGGGGCGCTAGTCCCCTACACCGGCCGAAGCCGGTGCCCCTGCTGGGGACAACTGTGTTTGAAATGCAAATCCCCGTATACGCCTATTCCGTGTCGCATTGTTTTGCGTGCACAATCGTTCGCGTAAAATGTTCGACATTGTAAGCTGAAATGCGGTTATGTCATTGACTCACTCTTCCCGTTACGCTGCCGTTCGGTTCCCCACCGTAATGTTCTTCCATAATGCCCTTGCTATTTGAGAGCACGTGCGGAGAGGCGTCCTGTTATCAGTATATGTTAGGCTTGTTCAAGGGTGTCAGTTTTGGGAAGTTTTGTTAGGGGGGCCAACCGAAGGCCCGGCAATCTAACCCCCATTTTTCCTCACTGGATTTAGCCCACTTTATGTTAATTGAAAGCCATATTTGTAATTAACAAACAAAAATTGATTGAGTCTTTAGTTTAAGCAGCATACAAACCATACAGGGATGCCTCCAGGGAGCAGGCACTGGACGCACGCGTCTCCTCTGATCGGCACGTGAAGGCGCCCCTCTTGAGGCCACATCAGGGCGCCGGTGGCGCTCTTCTATGGCGGTCATGGGGGGGGGGGGGGGGCGCACGAATTTTGGTTGTGGGAACGGGGGCATGGTTAGCCATGAAAGACTTAGGTTAAAGATTTGTGTCTGGTGGTGAGAGCAGCCATGACTTTTTTGCTATGAGAATAGAACGAGACGCCACCATGCAGAAAGATAAAAAAGATTGTCTTTGTGCTGTGATCATCTTTTTAAATAAATTAACTGCGAATAGTTTGTATGGGCGGCTTCGGGTTAAGAGTACACGCTAAGCATAGCTTGTTGCATGTACAACGAACCCACCCCCCAAGTCGTGCCTTCCAGTTCAACGGGTAATTTTGCCTCCGCCCTTTTGCCAGACAGGACTGCGGAGGTTTTACGTGCCGCACAATATTGCGGCACGGCCGCCCCGGTCCTGGGTTAACCCTCGTTGGCCAGTTGCCAACTGACCTTTCCATTTCATCTAGCTCAACCATGCGCCCGCTCAGGGACTCGTACCCAGTGCCGCTGGATCACGAGCCCAGCGCCTTTCCCCTATACCACGGTGGTGGCAACCCTTTAACTACCTTTTTGTAGTATTCCAGCCAAAACATTTGGAGTAGTCAAACCGACATTTGGGAGCCCAACTCAACGTTGGGGGGCCAGGATCCCCACAAAAGAATATAAGTCGGCACCCGTGGGATTGTCTGGTTCTATGTATGCCACCATGGAGCCGTTGAATGGCGCAGCTTTCCGCCGATGCCTTTCGTCCTTCTCTAGTTTTCAGGGACGAGTGGGTACACTCACGACGCGGACTCGGGGTCAGAACATCAATATCCGTACTCAGATTCGACCGCAAACGCTTACTGCGGTCATCGAACTCCTACCCGTGCCTGGCCCGTTTTAAGATCCGCAGACGCGGCTAATAGCCGCCGCTCGAGGCACTAACCAGGGCCGCTCTGCTCCAGGCCGCCGGCCGTGCAATGAATTCGACGAATTGCCCGCCCGGCCGGCCGGCCCCGAGTCGGGCTGAGGCTGCAGCGTACGGCGACGCGCGCGACGCGACGCCCGCCTGGGATTTCTACTGACAGTTGTCCGTGGGATGTGAATATATTTCAGGATGTTGAGGCATCAGATATGATGAAATAAGCTCATATACAGCTTTTGTTGTACCATAAGTGGAAAAAACTGTTCAGGACAACACTATTTCTCTGTACAGTTAGTGTGCTCAACATTGTCACTGTATGACTGTGTCATGGAGCATTCGTATGGTGGCACTCACTGGTGCACTTATCTCAGTCTCTCGAGAGTGGCCCCCAGCGGAGTTGGATGCATGCTGAACCAAGTGTCGATGGGCGTTTGTTTTTTGTGTCATTTTTTGCTTCCTTTCATGGTGTTTTTGCATCTTTATCCGTGAGTTTTGTTTGCTCACTTGTATTCACATGTTTGGCTATAGTGAGCTATAATGCTGCTCTTATGCTATTCGATTAGAAGTATTCTTCGCAATAGCTAGAAAAAATATTCAACTTTTCGTATCATTTACGCAAAACGCAATTCATCTTAGAATCTTACATGCCGTGTACAACAACGGCTGAGAGCCAGACATCGGCCGTTATATCTGGAAATAGTGCCACGAGCGCTATTTGTGAACGACTCAACAATCATATTTCTCTTTACCTTGAACGCGGCATGACCAGTGGAATAACAGGATTTAAATGATGTTATCGTGGTGTCATGGATGCCTCAGTAACCTTGAAATCATATGCACGAAATAGTCCGCATATTTTCGTGGGTGTGTAGCTTTGATACATGAGGATTTAAGGCTTTAATATGGGTACATATTAATATTATATATTATTATTAATATTATATATTAATATTATATAGCCGTGAACTGCACCAAATGATCTCCAAGATGGCTTTTTCTGTTCAAACTTCTAAGCAAGCGTGGAACACTCCCGGTCAGGTTACGGGAAAATAATGGGCTTAGACCAGTTAAGCTGACAAGATTTTTGACGCTGTAGTAACTACGAATCATGGGAAACAATGCATGCTCCCGACGTCAGTGAAGCGTACAGCGCATGATCTGACGAACAAGCTGAACGACGTCCGGCGCAACTGGCCGCCTCTTACCGCACCATTCCGTCGCGTCGCGGGCTGCGCTCCAGGCCACCAGCTGCGCAGAAACATTTGGTGCGGCAAGTGATGCAGCATCGTGCCCATTAAGCTGACAAACGTCAGGAATGTCAACGCCACATGTTTTTCAGCCATCCACATTCATTGCGCTCCAGACCGTCTGCGCCGAAACAGTGTGAAGTGTTGACCGTGTCCTGTGACGGCCACGAACGGCACTGTGTCGCCATGAACGCCTCCGGGAGCGGATGCCGGAAAGGTCCATGTCCTTACTCTTCACAACGTGCTGCGCGGCGTCAGAGCAGCCACAGGCAGGGCTGCTTATGGCGCGCCGTTCTTCTGCGTCGCTTCAGTGCTGTTGAACGTCCCACATGTGCTAGCCAGTTGGTAAACAAGCCGATCAGTTTCTCTTCGCCCTGCGCCGCGTTGCACGTAGAATCACTCGAAAGCTGCCGCGCGGTGGGACTGAACGACCCGCCCAGCTCGGGCTTGCTTGTCGCTCGACGCTTTATTTCGTTTTTTACTGACGATTTTACGCACGGTTTTGACGTAATGGGGCGCCGTCTTGAATGCTTTAAGGGTCGCTGGTTTTTGGGTTAGGCCGGTGTTCGGGTTTGACAACTCTGAGTATATTTGCGCTCCAGCCCAATTACCCACACGCTCAGTTGGAGCCTCTGGCTATATTTCTCTTTAGCCATTTCAACGAGCAGATAGGCTAGTTTTGGTTGTCCATAGATAACGTTACGCACCTTTGTCCATTTCCAAAGCCCTCCCTCGGTAGCATCGTGGCTACGCTGGGCAAGACCCCTGGTTACGCTGATTTGAGCATGACATCCCAGAAAGGTAGCATCCCCTGATCCCCGAACTATGCCAAGGGTGCGAAACAAAGCAAGATGTGTTTGCTGCGAGAGGAGGCGAATGGTGTCCGGCTGTAAGGTTTAAGAATATTTGAAAAGAATGACGAATGTTATGTATGAACACTTGGTGTAGCGTCAAGTGCCGCCCACCCCTCCTCCTCCCCGTTGTGCTCTGTCTATGATCCGTCAAACCGCAACCCCGCCTTGCGTAACGCCATATATGGACTTTCCGTTTCGTCATTGCCCTTCAGCATGCTCTCGGGGGCGTCAGCGATGACCTTGACAAAGCCGTAAAAACAGAACATTTGCGCCGTTTCTTTCACACTCCATTGCAAAAAACCCGGGTCGACAGCCCCAGCCACCAGCCGGCCTCTGGCATCCTCACCTCGACGCGTCGGCTCCGCCACCATGCGCGTCTGGCCAGCATTGATCGGCGATGCGTTGTCAGAGGCTGTACAGTGGGCCATCACGCGGCCCTCGGGTGACTGTGGCGCGGCGGCGGGAGCAGGAGGTGCGGGGAGCCAGGCGGGTGCTTGGCGCACGCGACGGCTCTGGGTCGGGGTGGACTTCGGTCGGGTCTCCGGGAGCGGCGCAGGTGTTCGGTCGACTTGTGACCGGCAGAGCGCGGCTGTCTCCGTGCGGGGTGCCGTTCCGAGCGTGCTCCCGACCCCGACCACCCGCGGCCCGGCGTCGACACCGGCACAGCATCCGACGGCAGTGACGGACATCCGGCCGGCCCGCCAGACGCCAGACCGACCAGGTACGAACGGTACGGAGCCGTGCGGTGGCAAGTGGGTGGAACACCTTTGTCAGCCCTTTGACTTATTTGGTGTTCCATGGCTTTTTTGCTGGATAGCAACTGATCGAATATGGCCAGCGTGGATGAGCTTCGAGAGCTGCACCAAACCCAAGTGATTGTACTCCATGACAGGGGGTGAGGTGGTGGCGGTTGAATTAGCTTGCTTCCCTTCATGCAATGTTTCAGGCGTTTTAAGTCATTTCCTCGAGCTGACGTCCTCGGCCCATGGCTCCTGTGCGCTCGTCCGATGGGATAGTTTTTTCATACCCGGGCACAACAAGGAGCCTGACAGCTCTCTCCCGTATTGTTCGAAATAAGGCAAATAGAGCATGATAAAGAGTGTGTTGTTTTTTCTCCGAGTTAACCAGATATATCAGCTTTTGGTACGATATTGACCTTAAATGTGTCCTGTAAATGAAACAGGACATGATCGCGGGTATAACTTCCACTCAAAGGGGCAACCAGTAATTTAGTAAGCGCCAGCGTGTTCTTCGCTTCTCCCAGTTATGAACATGGTTGGGTTTTGGGGTCTTGGCTAGTAAACGATTCCCCAGGTCACGTAAACCCCAACACAGCTGAAATGTCCATTGGAGTGCATAATATGCATATCGCACTGCTGACATGCTGACATGCTGACATGCTGAATATGCTAAGGAAAACATGAAGCTATTGATCATCGTCTAAATTATCACGCGCACATATTTTTTGGGGGTCAGTTTGTTACATTTGAGTTTAAGTAAGACCTTGATGTAATTCATGCTCTGTCTTGCAGGCTACAAGACGCATTATGTATATGTGTATGCATATATATATATATATATATATATATATATATATATATATATGTTCCGAGCGTGGGAAACTTTCGTCCACGACCTGGGAGACTCCGAATTGCTGGAGGCGTGTATGTGCGTTTCGGTGAAAGGAGTAACGGAACTCCAAATGTACTTGACGCGACTCTAGAAAGAGCTGCGGACTTCGCGAACCACGCACACTACGCGCGAGCCATCTCCATAGGCTGCTTTCTGCATTTGCAAACGCCAGAACGCGGGCTTGGCAGTTCGATTGCTTAGGGTCTTCCCGCACGTTTTCCGGCTGCTGTTCCGCGCGAATGGAATGTTGCAGCTGTGCAGGAGTCACGCCCTTCTTCTTCATGCAGGAGCCGTCTCCCTTCTCTTTCCGTGTTGAGCTGGGTACACGCAAAGTGGTTCCTAATCCCTATTGTTCCCAACAGTTCTTCGAAGTAAGAAGAATTCAAAACTTCACAACGGCCTTGCTTGTTACAATAGCTACCGTCACGCGCTTCAGCGGTCGCTGGTCAGAACTTCAGATGCACCACAGGACAAACACATCAAATGTGCGGTAGTTTCCTGGTGAGCGTAGTACCATTGTACCGTAAGCTGCATCCTTCCATTACACCACGAGACGTGCTGGCTTCACGTGCATGGCAATGCTCTCCCCGTGTCATTGCCCCCCTCCCCCTATGGGGGGACAGACGGAACCGGGCGGAACCGGACCAAACCAGATGGAACTGGCCATAACCGGACGGAATCGAATGGGATATTATCACTACTCTACTATCTGCTATCCACTTCTACTATCTATCATCTGCTAATTTGGTTACACAATTTACACAACAATTAGACATTTGTTTAGGCTTACACGGTGTCATCCCAGGGCCCATATTGTGTATTTTACTACAAAGTACTGTTTGCTGCGGGATGGTGCATTTAACTGTTCCGTATGACCAGGGGTTATGGCTGAGATAAACCAAACAGCCACTGCGTGGTTTGAAAAGTTCATACCTAAACTTACAGGATTTCGTGGTCCTTAACTCGCCGTTTACTTTTAGTTCGTAGCTCTAGTTCATAACTTTTAGCAGTTCGTTGTTCGTAGCTTTTTGTTTGTAGTTCTTTTTTAGTTGGAGTCCCTCCCCCCTCCCCTCTGAAATGAATGAATAGCTATGCCCCTGTATCGGGCATTATGAGCTCAGAGCTCTTATGTCGAGCTATTAACATGCATTGTACCAGGAGGTGCGGTTAAACGACGTTATATAGCAAACATCGATTGTTTTGTCAGTACTCGGCGTTGTAAGCAGCTCTTATGATTACAAGAGTGTCATCATGAGCGTTCACTAGTGCTTTGTGGAGTTTCTGTCGCTTTTGTCCTTTTGGAAGTCTCGCTTTAGCTTTTTTGGTGTAATCATGCTTTTATCTCTGTCGACGTTTTGTCCTTGTCATTTCGAATAAACTTTTTCCATTAATATTTTATTCCGACCTTTTGTCGTTCGATTTTTCCGATTTGGCTTCTTTTCCAGTCGACTTTTATCCCCATCACTTTTTTGCTTCAACATCTTCGATTTAACTTTTATCCCAGTTGACTTTTATCCCCATCAATTTGTTCCTTCGACTCCTTCCAATTTGACTTTTATCCCATTCGACTTTTATCCCAGACGGTTTTTATTCTCGTCGACTTTCTGTCATTTGATTTTTATTGTTCCACATTTTTCAGTTCAACTTGTTTCGGTTTGACTTTTTGTCCGAACGGTGCCCCCACCCCCTCTCCCCAATTGCCCAACCCACGCCTTCACTCCCGCAGGGGCCCCGGCTTCGGCCGGTGTAGGGGACTAGCGTCCCCTCGAGCCCCAGCTTCAGTAGCAGGCAGACAGCGCAAGCTGTTCATTTCAGGGCCTAGCGGCCCTGCCGGTACATCAGCTCATGCTCCTTGTCCCGTGGTGCGCTCCCTCCCTACCACCTTCATTCCCACATCCGGCCCTCTTAACACTTCTCATCCTCGTTTTATCGGGGTGCCGTGCCCCCTCGCTCGCGTCCCCGGATTGATCGGATCCTGGTGGCTGAGGAGCGCGTCGTGCGGGTCAGTCACGGCGCGTCCCAACACTGACCAGGATATCCTGGGTGCGGGGGGCCCATATGGCCCTATGCGGGTCTAGCGGCTTGTCGCTCGCGCTGCGGCTAGGTGCTCCGTGCAGGCCTCCGTTTGGGGTGTCTGACTGCGCGCAGCGGCTTAAGGGGTTAAGGGGCGGCGGCGCTGAACCACAGTCAGGACGGGTAGGGCTCTCCCCGGTTACACCTGGCCGCGTAGGAGGCGTCCTTCGCCGCCGTCTAGCACCGAGATAACCCTTGCGGTGGCCACCTCCTGAGGGATTTTTGGGCCGTCCATCATCTGGGCTCCGAGGTGGATGCGAAGCCCCGGTGCCGAAATATAAACCACCTTTTAGAGCATCTTTTCACCTTAAAAACACCCGTCCTCCGAAAGAGGGACGGACCTCGATAAACCCATGGTGCAGAGAAGAATGTGCGTTCCCCGGTCCATGGATCATTGTCTTCAGAAGTGATGAGATTATGCTGGCTTCCCTCTCACCGTTTCAGGGGGCGGAACGGCTGCGAAGGGTTTTGGAAAATCATCAAATGCGACAAGCTCAGGGATGGAAAAATAGAAGCAGAATTTGCTGGTAGTCGGGAGGGGAGCCGGACTATGGCAGCCAAGGAGTTTACGTGTAGTGTTCGGGATGAGACTGGTAAACATGAAAAGACCGTGTCGATATCAGCAACACCACATGAGACCAAAAATTCGACCAGGGGCGTGGTCAATTGTTTTTATCTGCGTGACGTCGCCGAGGACGAGATAGTCGAGGAGTATCAGAGTTTGGCGTGATGAGCGCTCGTAGGATTCCCGTCAGAGGGGGAGGAGAGCTGATGTCCATCAACAGCCTCATTCTGGCGTTTAGCTCCACCGATTTGCCGACCGAGATGCGTTTGGGGTACGTTCGAGTGAAGGTTCGCCCTTATGTGTCTAACCCCACATGGTGTTGCCGATGCCACCGATTCGGCCACACCAAACTGTACTGTCGTAACCGCCTAGCATGTGGTAAATGTGCGTCATTCGAGCACACGAGCGAGGTTTGCACCTCTGCTAAACCCCATTGCGTCAATTGTGGCAAGGACCAAGGCCCACATACGACGCACGACCGTACATGCCCCGCCTACGCGAAAGAAAATGAGATTATATCGATTAAAACCTCTAAAAACGTCTCTTTCCGGGAAGCTCGTGAACATTGCAAGCGAAATCCACCAGAAAATATCGTAGGCTTCCGAAGTGAAAACTCCGTTGCCGCAGAGTAATGTAATCGAGCTTATCATGGCATTTCAGTTCGCGAAACTTTTGAAGTCGTTTGGCCTGTCGGTTGTTCCCTCGGTCCGAACGCCCGACTGCCAGCCGGCACTCCCTATTCCCTCCCCGCCGATCAAGCAGTCGGTGGACACCGCTCTGCCGGACTAGTCAGCGCGGGCCGGATCACCGACGAGTGACGGTTGGAGTCCTCGCGTGCCGTCGGCCATCCCTTTGTCTGCGACTCAATCGGCCCACTCACCACAGACACCCCTTGCCAGCGCCTCTGAGCGTGCGGCAGAGGCGCTGGAGCGTCAGGGAGCTGACAGGCGCGCTCGCAGGGCGAAGCGGGTGCGTTTGGTTGAACCCGAGCGGACTAAAGCCATTAACCGGTCGCCTGGGAGCGAACCGTTCCACCGCCCAGACGACGCGTAGAGGCCCCTGGAGGCCCTCCGGCGCGAGGAGGCACCCGATGGATCCTCCTCCGGGGCCAATACCATTTCGAGTTCCTGCTTCGCCGGCGCCATCACTGTCTGGAGCGGGGCGCCCGGAAAAGCGTGGCCCGGCCTGGCTCATCTCGCCTTGAAGTGGAAACTCACGTGTTCGGGCTAGAACCCGGCCGGCGTCGGTGGGTTCGGACCCCGATGATACCGCGAGGACGCTGAGCCCCGTAGCTGGACCGTCTGGGTCCTCTGCTACCGGTGCAGCCGAGTCCTTTTAGATCCTCTGTTTCACACTGTGATCTTCCACCTCTCATAAACACGTAGACGTGGTTTACACATGTAGACGTGGTTTCCGCGGAGTGGTAGACAGGTAGAGACCGTCCTCGCCTTTTAGCTCCATGACTAGCATTTTACAGTGGAACTGTAGGGGCACCCGGACAAGCTTCCAGGGCCTGCAAGCCTCCCTGAATCAACGATGTCCAGCGGTCGTATGTCTCCAGGAGATGAGACTTGCGCCTGAGAACCACCTCACTCTTTCTGTCTATGCAGTATGGCGGCGAGACGTGCCAGCTGATCCCCTCGCGCACGGCGGCGTTCTGCTAGCGGTGCACCACAGTGTGGCGACGAGACGTGCCAGCTGATCCCGTCGCGCACGGCGGCGTTCTGCTAGCGGTGCACCACAGTGTGTCTGCGCGCGGGCTGACTTTAAACGCTGAGTTACAAGCCGTCGCGGCTTAAGTGTTCTTGCACCGATAAACAACAGCCATCTGTTCAACGTGCCTGCCTCCTGGTACCAAGTTTCCGTCCGTTGAGCTCAGACGCCTGGTGGCTCAGCTTCCGTGGCTCGTCCTTATATTAAGTGACTTTAATGCCCACCACTCAGCGTGGGGATGTGTCCAGACGAACACCGTCAGGAAGCGCTGTGAAGCCTTCATATACGAAGAGTCGCTTTGCTTTTAAACATGGGAACTCATTTTACACTTCAGCTGGACAGGGATCAACAATCGACCACAGTCTTTCAAGCCCACAACTTACCAACCACTTAAGCTGGCCAGTGTTGGACCATCCCGGTAGGAAGCGATCACTTCCTCATGTGGATTAGTCCCAAAACTTACGTCCTCCTCGGCTGTAGACTGTAGCAGTGGAATCTTAAAAAAGCTGACTGGACTGAGTTTTGATCACGGACCGAGCACTTCATGTCAACGAAAGCCGTGGGTCAGCCTCCGTCGGTCGAGGTTTTGACTGCCTTGATTTTGCGTTCTGCGAAAAGATCTGTTACACGAACGCCAGGAAATCCTCGCCGCGCTCCTATCCCATGGTGGACACAGCAGTGCCGGGACGCCATCTGCGCGCGTAAGAGGGCCTTTAGAACATTCGATCGCCGTAGTACGACATAAAATCTAATCACGTTCCGACGAGCACGAGCGGCTGCGTGGCACGCTATTCTTGAAGCCCGACGCGCGTCACGGCGAGCCTATGTCGGTCAGCTGAACTGTCACACACCTGCAACCAACGTATGGGCGCGAATCAAGCGTATCGTCGGGCAACTCATCTACACCGCACCTGTGCTGCACATAAATGGGTGCGATATTCTGCAGTCATTCAAGGTTGCAAGTGAGATCGCCCGCGCACTGGCCGAGAGAAACGACACGTTGGTGTCCTATTTTTGACGTCGAAAAGGCCTACGATGCGACATGGCGATTCGCATTCTGCAGAAGATTTTCAGTTACGGCGTTCGAGGAGCTATGGGCATGTTCCTGACAAAGTTTTTATCCGATCGATTTTTCAGTGTTAGTGTTGGTGCACTTTTTCTCGCATATATCAGCAAGAAAACGGCATGCCGCAGGGCAGTGTTCCCAGTGTCGCCTTGTCCGCAGTCATGATCAATTTATCGGAGACTCCTCCCTCGGTCTGTCGGCCGTTCTCTTCGTGAATGATGTTGTCCTATGGTATTCTTCGTCGATCTCTGCGTCTTTGGAGCGCCGATTGCAGTCGCCCGTGGGTAACCTGGCCACGCACTTCTGCAGACGTCGCCATCAGTGCCCGGCGATGAGTCTAAGGCTCTACGGGCAGACAATTCCAAGTGAATCGTCTGTCCGTTTCAGGGACATGTTTTTGACGATCACCTGACGTAGAGGCCACATTTAAAACTCTAGCGTGACACATGCTTTAAAGCCTTGAACATTCTGAAGTATATTTCTGGGACCTCATACAGGACGGACAGAAGAACACTCTTACTCCTCTACTGCTTACCCATACGTTCTAAACTGGATAACGGATGCCTTATTTATGACCGTGCACCTCAGTCTTGCAAACATGTATTTTACGCAGTGCATCACACCGTGTTACGCATCGTGACCGGAGCCATATAGACCATCACCAGTATCTAGTCTTGCGGTGGAAACAAATAAGCTGTCATTATCTCGTGGGAGAGAAATGCTGGGAATGTGGTACACTTCAAAGTTGGCACAGTTTTTAAACCACCCGACCCATCGAGCGGTTTTTTCGCGACGTATAGGAGACATGTTTCAAAGTGGCCGAAGGCTCCACGGTATACCTTAAAGCGTGCAAATGAAGGCGCTGTTCCGTATAGCGGCGTTGACTTGCGTGGTGCACTAAGGTCTCGTCACGTTTTGGTACCCACGTGGGAGCTGACTAAACCCAAAGTGGTTGTTTCGCTAGCATGCACCAATAAACAGCGTGAGATTCCAGTCGACCTTAACTTACGGGCCTTAGAGCACATTGCCCCGTACATAAGGCTTTCAAACCACATAGACGGACGGCTCGAAAACGGAGACAGGAGAAGGCTCTGCGTTTGTAAGCGGCGAAGCCACCCGGTCATTTTCGATGCCAAAAAAAGCCTCCGTGTGCACGTCCGAGGTCGTTACTATAAATAAAGCCTTCTGTGTCATCGAAGTTGGTGAGGACAATTTACACCTGATCCTCTCTGACTCTTTGAGCAGCTTATTAGCCTTGACAGCTTTTAACTCACCATGTCCTGTTATACAAGATATTTTGATTCGCCTGACAGCGCGGATCGTGCGGGTAAAACTGTCGTCCTGTGTTGGATACCCAGCCACGTGGGCATCGCAGGTAATGGACTGGCCGACGCGACAGCAAAACGAGCAGCGTGTGCACCTTGCACCCGCACTTTGCCCCTGCCGGCCAGGAACTTTTAACCTGCATTTCGGCTTGTATTTAGGGAAAATGGCAACGTCTATGGGCCATCACAGCAAACAGTACGCTGAAAGCCATCAAGCCACAGCTGGGCCGTCGAGGCCGTCGAGCCCACGCGATGCGAGACGAGAAGAAAAAGTCCTTTGCCGTGGTCGCATTGGTCATACGCACTCGACGCATGGCTACCTTCTGGGCGGCGAAGAACGGCCTCAGTGCCCTCGCTGCGATGCGCCACTTATAGTCCACCGATCATTTGTCTATGCCCACATTTCAGTGAAGAGTGGATACACTGTTTCGGACGAGATGCTCCAGTCCTTGCCTTTTCAAACATGGCTGGTGTCGACTCTCGCGTTCTTGCCACGACTCAGCCGTTTTCATTTTTGACTTTGTAGGATTTTTAGCCATAGACACACCTATGTAGTCACTTAACTGTTATGGGCGCCAAATGACCTTAGTAGTCGGCACGCTCCAAAACACCAATCAACAACAACAACCTCGCCTTTACCTACCAAACGGTGTGTCCGCAGATGGCGCTGCTCTCCCACCGCGGGTTATCGCAGCTAGCGCTGGGGCTGCGCGGCCTCTCGACCGTGCGCCTGAGCGACAACCTGGCGCTGCTGACCGTGTCGGAGGTGCCGGCGCGCGGCGTCTCGCCGGAGCACGTGCTGCGCCACACGGCCGACCAGCCGGTGGCCATCATGCTGCCGTGGCTGGGGGCCACGCAGAAGGGCATCCGCAAGTACGCCGACTTCTACCTCAGCCAGGGCTTCAACGTGCTGGTGGGCACCGTGACGGCCAGACAGCTGCTTCTGCCTGAGAGCGGCGCCCAGGTACGCGCTCTCGCGGGCTGGGGGGTTGCGATAGCGTGTGTTCTGTCTTCGGAGCGGTGTGCTGTGGTTATGGACAGGTGGCTCGAACACTGACCGCGGCGCAATCTGCGGCGGATTGTTCGTGCTGCATTGATGCGTGTGCCTGAGTCAGACGCCGCAACGGTCCTGCCCTGTGCGCTCGCTTCTAGTCTAGGAGCCTCTGTGTCGGAACAAACGCAGCGATCATGCAAGAGTGGGTGTCGGCGTTAGTCTGGTACGACGGCCATTTTGCTCTCCTGACGTCGACGGCGCTGAAGCAGTGGTCACACACGAGCCCCGTTATTTCCCTGCGTGACCAGCCTGCGTTTCGCAGGTGGCTGCGCGCCAGCTGGTGGACGTTTTGCTTGCGAACGATGACGTCAGTCAGTACGTGGTGCACGGCTTCTCCATCGGGGCGTACTACTGGGGCGAGGTGCTGGGGCAGATGGCCTGGATGGACCCTGGACGGACCATCACCAGGAAGATTACTGGCCTGGTCAGTCGGCTGAGCGTCGGCCGGCGGCTCTGGTCTCGGGCCGTGGCGTTCGCGCACCGCTACGTCTCTGGCAGTCGGGGCCCCCTCGAATGAGAGGATCGAGCCGGAGTCGCTGTTCGTTGCGCAAACGATGCCTCCTGCGAGTGAGAACGACTGCTCGATGTTAGACCACGCTTCGCTCGTGAAAACTGACTGACTATGTCGAACCGAGCGGAATGGCATTGTATGGGACGCTGACGGTGCCTCCTCACCAGCGCGTCGGCCCGGCAGGTGTTCGACAGCCCCGCCGACATCACGGAGATCCCAGTCGGCCTGTCGATGGCCGTCACCGACAATGTCCTGCTGCAGAAGATGATCGCTGCATACGCCAAGTAAGCAGCTCCAGCGTCCCGCAAGCTGCACCGAGTCCGTGCTGTTGGACACGTTCTCAGCAACGAACGGCCAGTTTCCGTTGACGCTTAGCTCTTGCTGTAATTCGTGAGGCTGCGCTTATGTGAACGGAAGGGTGCTGGGGACGACTGTCTTGCACTTTTCGTGTTTCCGTTTTAACTGCAATTGTCTCTGGTTGCTGTGGCTCTAACGACCATTGCGATCATTTGCGCCGTAACAAGCGTTAAGCCATATGTTTAAAAAGCAATGTTTATTTACAAGTTGGTAAAATCCCAGGTGTGTTAGATGCCCGTGGTATGCGACGCTACCTACTGCACTGCACGTGGCGCCCGCCGCGCAAAGAACGTTAGTGATCTCTCTGGCTCACCGCTTTGGTCTGCACCTCCTCGTCCCCTGCCAGGTTTCACCTGAAGACCATGGAGAAGCTGGCGACGCGTCACTACCGCGAGGCGAAGCGTCAGTTCGTGCACTATCCGCTGGAGGACGCCACCGCCGTCATGTTCCTGTGGTCCCAAAATGATCCGGTCTGCTGCTGCGAAGCCATCCTTGACGCTGGTTGCCGAGCATGAGAAGCATGGCAGGAAGGTGGGGATGCTGCGAGGCTGTACTTGACACTCGTGCCGAGCATGAGAAGCACGGCAGGAAGGTGGGATGCTGCGAGGCGTGCTTGACACTCGTGCCGAGCATGAGCAGCATGGCAGGAAGGTGGGGATGGGCGACTGCCATTGGGATGATAACGTGCAGAGTCCAGACCTTCCTAATTGGAGTTGTGCTGATGAGCTTTCGTAGGATGCAATACTGCTCCAGTTGTCACTGCCTGGTATGTTTTGCCCATGTTCTCGTAATATCACACCAAGATGATAAACATGATGATATCACATCACACCAAGATGATAGAACCAAGAAGACGTTGAACTTCTTGTTACATCATTATGAGCTGGGAGTTTTATGACGACACTAGTATATGACCTTTCGTATATCAGGCGATGCAGTTATAAACCTTCAGTATAAAAGGCGTTACAATTAGACGAAGTTTTCAAGTAAACAGACGTTGATTGCATTGGCAATACTTAATACCCACTGTGCAAGACGTGCAGCACATAATGTTCTGAATATGCTGCAAACTCCAGCCATCTGCGCGGGTGTCAGCTGTTCTGTAGCACTCGGACATGACCTGGTGACGTCACCTGATGCTACCACCTTCCAGGTGTTCTACAAGTGCTGGCCCGACTCGAAGCACGTGCGCCACCTGATCCAGCATCCGGGCGATTACCACTGGGAGGTGTCCGAGTTCTTCAAGCACTTGGGGCACCTGCGCTTCCCGGACCGGTTCCCCGCCCACAGACAGGCGGCCGCCGTCAGCCAGTGAACTGGCGCCGCCGAGAGCGCGCCCCCTGGCGCCGCCGGTTCCCCGCCCACAGACGGGCGGCCGCCGTCAACCAGCGAGCTGACGCCGCCGAAGGGCGCGCCCCCTGGCGCCGCGGTTCGCGCGGTGACCGTGAAGATGCACCGGGTGTTGTCCTTTGAGTGAAGACCTTGCGTCACCCTAGCCAAAGAGCCCCGGGTTCAGGCAGCAGTGGGCGCACTTGCACCACGCATGCTCAGGGTCTAGTTTTGAGGTCGAACAGCATGGCTTGGAACGATTGCTTGCCCGGTTGATCGGCGGTGTCGTGCTTGCGCGTGCTGTTTACACCAACCTCAGACGGTTGGGTTCAAACAATGA